AATAAATAAATTGAATTTGAAAAAAGGAGAACGAAGGATATTACCGGTATCACCCCTATGCAGCTTCAAAAGCTGTTATCGCGTTCATCATTTTGCAGTTCAATCTGGGATAATAGCGTGAGCCGTTCTACCATCCCCTCTGTTGTGAGCATGAGGATAATAAAAGTGTCACCTTCTTCACCACTCTTCTCTCCTCTCCTTCACCATTCCATTGAATTAATATATTGATGATTCGCGTTGAAGCGATTGATTGATTGATTGCTACTTCTCTCCGCTAAGGAACGTCAGTCAGAAAGGCCAGGAGCAACGACACAATAATAAAGAAACCTGGCGCGGAAAGCGCAGGATCAAATCCAAATCAAGGAGGAGAAGCTGGTTCACGCGCCAAAAAAGTGTAGCCATACTAAGTAGCATTTTTTCGACCGAACTCTGGCTGCAATTGCGGTCAGATACTGCCATTGGCAGTCTGAGTAGCCCTCAGTGTGAACGCTGAACCAGTCCCAGAAGGGGAACCAGCAGGAGCACACACATTACCGCGCCCATCGATGATGGATGTGCTCGTCTCGGCGCACGCACAGCTCACCAAGAGCCAGAAGATCCTAAAAAGGAAAGGCCTGCCGTCAGGCGCAGGCGTCACTGTGTCAGAACGATCCTAAAACGGAAATGGCTAACCGCTCCAGCCTTTTTGCCTGCAAACAGTCAGGTTACCTGCCGTTTGGCTCATCACTGTCAGACCAGACCAGACGGAAAGGGCCCAGAACAGGTATTGATAATATTGCCGCCAACCGGGCCTGACGTTCCGCTCAAATCTCTATGGCCTGGCAACCGGTGAAGTGGAATCAGAAGTTCATAATAGGGTGTATTTTTTTTCTTTTGGTGGGTGGGGGGTTGGGGGGGGGTTGGGGGGGGGTGTGGAGGGGAACACTGAACCCAACCCCCCCATTGTTCGCTAAAAAAAAACAAAGACTAGGAAAAAAGACGTCCCCCTTGCTCTGAGTCTGTGTTTGAGGCTGTTGATCCTTGTTATCCACGGTTCAGAATGAGGTATCCAGTCAAACTGCGACCTGGTCTTCTGGCCTTCGTGTGGATGAGCTGAACCGAATGGTTCATGCGTCTGGTGAACGCCAGTAAACTGTTACTAGTAAACACGAAAACAGATAATTCCTGTTTTGTTGTTTTGTTTTACGTTGTTCTTTTCATTTACAACTGGCCGGTGGCGAGGGCTCACACGTGCCAGCGGTCCGAAAAATGGAAAGAAAGAAAAAGACCCCAGCCACCGGCCAGTTGTAAATGAAAGCGTTCAGCCACCCTAAGGGCCTGTGTTTCGTTTTTTTTTATTTTTTCCACGAAAGCGAGAGAGAAACAGAGGGAGGAAAAAAAAAAAAAAA